GGGGAGGCGGAGGTGGGGAAGAGACAGAAATATTTAATAAATAAATTTAAAAAAAAGAAAAAAAATAAAATAACAGAAAAAAAAGAAAAAAAAAAAACAAAATGCTTGCATCTCTTAATAACCAGCATCCTCTTAGATCTGCAGTTGGGCTCCACGCATTCCAGTCTCAGCACAATCTTCTTTGTAGTTTTCACCTTTTTGCGGAAAATAGCCACAAATACTTACACCATAGCCACTCTGTTTCCTGTCATAACGCCGCTCTCCCTGGGCATACAAAGAATCTTGGCCCTTCTTGTACTGTGTCACTTTGTGGGGTTGGTGCTTGCCACAATTCTTGCAGAATGTCCGGCGGGTCTTAGGAACGTTCACCATGTTGGCAGGTGCGATATTGGCACAGAAAGAAAACGTGTGCTAACTTTTTTAGGATGTAGCTGACTCACTTGGTCCTGTGTCAGGGCTCCAATTAGTCCCCTTATGGAGCATCTCCACACAGCTCCAACCTAAGGCCAGAATAGCAGTAAGAGACCATTGGGTGTCTTGGTGCTCGAATATCCAACTGTAAACGGCCACTCATCCCCACAGTCCCCGTTTCCCCTCCTAGCTCCCCAGGACACATCCCTCATCTCTCCCTACCCACTGGTCTCCTCTTTATTTCACAACGTTTTTCCCTTCCTTGCCCTCACCTTTCCCAAAAATACCAAAGGTTCCTCAAAATGATGTCCTTGTTTTCATGATGTGGTTGCTCTGTCTTCCGATCCCTGCTTCTCCTCTGAAGCAGAAGCAACTGCAGGCCCAAGCCCTAGGAGCACTGAGGACCAGCCTTGTCACTGTGTGGTCCTAGAGATGGCCCTAGAGGAACTGAGGGAGTCTGTATACATGGTTGTTGATCGCAGCCTTGCTCCATGGCTTTTTTCTTACATACATATTTATTTGGTCGGTTGTTTGTTTACATTTGTTTTTTACAACACAGGGTCTCACCCTTTAGCCGTGGCTGTCCCAAAACTCACTATGTAAACTAGGCTGGCCTTGATGATACAGAAATCGCCTGCCTTTGCACCCCATGTGCGGAGATTAGAGTCATGTGCCACCACATCCACTGGTGCCTGTTGACTGGACTAGAGACAACTGGTGAGAGGAGGCCCACAGACAACTCTTGTGCGTTCTCTACGACTGCCATGTTGACCCGGTGTCACAAGAAACAGCAGCTTCCAGGGCTCAGGGGAAGGAGAAAAAGGAGCTGTTTCTATGATAGAGAGCAGAGGTTCTCAACCTTCCTAATTGCGACATTTGAATACAGTTCCTCGTGTTGTGGTGACCCCCAACCATACATTTATTTTGTTGGCCCTTCATAACTGTCGTGTTGATGCTCTTATGAATTATAATGTAATTATCTAACTAAAGGACACCTGATAAGGGGCTCCTGTGGGGTTAGGGACTCACAGGTTGAGAACTGCTGGTCTAGGGATTCCGAATAACTAAATATGGAAATTAAGCAAAGCGATATCTGTGAGCACACGAATGTACTCTGCCCTGAACTAACTATACACTTATCGCTAAAATTACACATTTTCTGGTATATATTTTTATGTATTCTGTGTGTGAGAGATCATGTAGGTCTGGAAATTCAGGTGTGTGTGTGTGTGTATATGCATGTGCGTGTGTGTGTGTGTGAATGCTCACACTTGTTCAGTGCATGTGGAGGCTAGAGGACAACTTCAGGTGCCATCCACCCTATTTTTTGAGACAGGGTCTCTCGCTGGCTTCAAGTTTGTCATGTAGGCTAGATTGTGAGACCAGTGAACCCCATGGACACACCTGTCTCTGCCTCCTCTTAACAGGAATTACAACGCTCTGTTTCCTGTGAAACTCTATGTATAGACAGACTAACTTTAACTCACAGGGATCTGCCTGCCTCTACTCTAGGGCTAAGATTAAAGGCTGTTCACCTAACTCTTTATATAGATACTAGAGATCAATCTCAGGTTCTACATTCTGAGAGCAAACGCTATAGACCGAAATAACTATGTGTTACCTACATATATAACCTAACAGCTGTATCTCCATGGCTTAATTACCTGTGACCAAATGAAATTGGAGGACACACAGCCAGGACAGGTAGAGGTGTGCACTGAGCTTGCTCTCCTGGAGTCTCAGCCTTCTGCATGTGTTCCCCTATGTGAACTTCTAACATCTGCTCCCCATCCCACATCCCACAGAGGAGACAGATGTGGCACTCACCCCCATCCCTCCTCATCCAGGGAGGATCTGCTCACTCCTCATCTCTCCCCAGCAGTCAGTACTACCATGCAGAGCTCCTCCATTGTCACCTCTGCAGTCACCACAGCTCAACTGGAGGACACAGAGGGCCAGAAGAATCCTTCATTTGTGAACATGGGAGCCATGGTTGGAGTGGCTGTGGCCACGGCTGTGCTCATAACCCCCGTCTGTGTACTGATGATCTTCCTCTGGTGGAAGAAAAGGTGAGTGGACCAGACCCTCCACCTAACTTCCTCTCTGAGTTCTCAGCTGTGGGGGAAGGAGAAGGAGGAGCTTGTGCAGGACAGAGTCCAGAGAAAACAGGGACAGAAAGGAGGCTGAACTCAACCAGGACTGAATCTGCTCCTACTTCCTTAGAGTTCGAGCTGGAAATTAGAAGATCAAGTGCAGATGAACACAGCCTGCTCCTAAGGAAATCAAGGGGCATGCTCAATTGGAAAGAGTTGTGGCTTCTAAGCAAGCCCTGAGGTAGACCAACATTCAGGGACAACATCTCACAGGAAGTGAAACCTGTGAATAGAGACAACTGTTTGAGTTGGGGATATGGCACTAAAGCGGAAAATAAGACAACAGTGCGCAACAGAGTCACAGATGGAAAGGGCATGTCTAAGAAGAAACTGTACTAAAAGAGGGGGAAAAATTGTGCCCTAAAAACAAAACACTGCTGAGAGAAGTTCCAGGACAGCTGTGAAGATGGCATAGTTGGTAAATTGGTTGCCACACAAAGACATGAACATGAATTCCAACCCCAGGATCCACTTAAAAAGTTGTCTATGTTGACAGATACTTGGACAGACAGAGACACTAGGATCCGAGCCCTGTCTCAAAAATGTAGATGGACATCACCTGGAGATGCCACCTAAGGATGTCCTCTGTCATCCTCACGGGTGTGCACACATGCACATGTAAACATACATATACACACGGACAGAAAATAAATTTCAAAAATTAGGGAAATACTAAAATATCGAAGAATATTTCCATAAGGGAAAATTGTATACGATAACTCCTTACAGTGAAAAACACTCAGAAACTCATTGCAATCCCTCTTCAAATTCCAATTGCATTTTTGTAAAGATAAATGATTTGTCTTTTAAAATTCAAAAGAATTCTAAGAAACAATCATGGAGACAAAATAGGGGACACCCTAATCCCAGCGTTGGGAAGTACAGAGAGGGGAATCAAGAGAACAAGGTTGTCTGGAGTTACATAGAAAGTTGAAGGACAGCCTGGGCTCATTGAGACCTTGTGCACACACAAAACAGGAGCCAAGTGTGGACTGGGTTCAGAGCAGATTTAAATCCATGCCGAGTAGAAGACTACAGGGCAGGAACAGAGATGAGAACACAGTGGAGTGTAACGGATAACACAGAAATAAAGTGTGAAGACGTAGGTCTTGGTTTTCAGAAGGGCTCAGCCTCCATAGGAGAGAAGAGGAACCGAGAATTCTGAGAGCAAGGACTGAGAGGCAGCAGAAGTCTGACTGGGATTCCAACCCTGAGACTGAATCTGCAGGGTGCAGCAGCTGCACTCACAGGGAAAGCCAGGGAGCCAGTTTCCAGGGAGACAAAAGGGGGGCCTGGTGAGTGCAGAGCAGAGAGAGCAGGGAAGGGACATGAGTTCAAGATCGGGGAAGGAGGCAAAGGGAGAAGGACATGGACAAGGGGCAGTGGACAGGAGAGCTGTTCTCTGATTGGCTGTGCTGTGCAGAAGGACAGCTGAGGATTGTCTTCAGGTCCTGGTGACTCTCAGACCTGTCCTTGAATGTCTGCAACAGAGCTGTTTGCTGCCTAGGCCCCTAATGACATCTGAACACAGACAATAACTGAGAGGCATGGCTGCCAGACTGACATTGTTTCTTCTACTACAGGCCAGCAGACTGAACTGAAAACCATAGCCAGGTGAGTGCCTGCCATTCAAGAAACAGGCAAGGGGCTGTTTAGTGGTTTGAATAAGAATGGACCACATAGACTCAAGGATTTGCATGCTTTGTCACCAGGGTATTGCACATAGGGTGTTGTTGGAGTTCTGTGGCCTTGGTGGAATGATTAGGTCAGTGGGGGTCGGATATGTATTTCAGATGCTCAAACTAGGACCAGTGTCTCTCCCCTTGCTGCCTGCAGATCCAGACATGAATCTCTTAGCCACTTCTCCAGCACCAGGTCTGCCTGCATGCCTCCACGCTTCCTGCCATGATGATAATGGACTATACTTTGAACTTGTAAGCCTGCACCAATTAAATGTTTTCCTTTATAAAAATCGCCGTGGGAAAAAAAAATCGCCGTGGTTGTGGTGTCTATTTACAGCAATGGAACTTTGATTAAGACAGGCCATGGGGGAAGTTATAAAATGCATGCAATAGAGCTTGAGAGGTGATTCAGTCAGTAAAGCATTGGCACACAGGAGGAGGATCTGTATTTGACAGGAGGAGTGGACAGATGGGCAGCTTTCATCAGTGAGATTCTCTGCTGGGTCAGGGCACACAGGGCCTATACTGTGGGTTGTTTGGGGAAAGTTTCTGGAATTGGATGGTTCAGACAGAAATAGCAAGGTTGAGCCTGTTCTCTGCCATCAGGGTCATGAGAAAACACAGCTGGGTATAAAATCAGAGTCTGAATGGTGGGGACATGATCAGGAACTGGAGTCTGAAGACTCATAGAGCCTGGCCTGGGGAGGCCGTGTTATCTCAGAATGAGGACTTGTTAAACATGTGGTGGCACATCCCCTGTGAAATTGCCTTGGATGACTGTGTGTGTCTGTGTGCATGTGCAGGTGTGTGCACATAACTGTGAGCTCATGTATGTGTAGGCCAGAGCACAATCTCAGACATTACTAGTCAGGGTATCATGCCCCTCCGACTTTTTTGGGTTTTGTAGGTTTATGTTTGTTTCTTCATTGTCTTTGTTTTTGAGACAAAGTGTCCCTTGCTGGCCTGGGACTGGATATATAGACCAAGTAGCCTCAAATGCACAGAATTCCACTTGCCTCACCCTCTGTCTCCCAAATGCAAGAATTAAAGGCATGCACCTCCATGCCTAGCCCATCTTGACTTTTAATACATATATTACAGGACTTACTTATCTTGTGGGGCCAATGCACTTATTTTACAATGGGGGCAGCAACCAGATTCTAACATTGCAGTCTGACACTCCCCATGGTCACAGGTATACACACCACAGCCCTAGGCTGCCCTTCCACAGAAAGTGCCCCTCCCCTGTGAATGCATCATGGCTGCAGAGTCCAGTCATGGTTCTGAGGGCTAATCTTAGTTGTCAACTTGACTTTATCTGGAATAAATACAATTCAGAAATGGCGAGCCCTCCTGTGAGAGAGTCTCTGCCTGGGTTGACATGGATGTATCCACTTCTTGTCTGGACATTTGAGGCAGGAAACCACACCCGTAATCTAGGCTGCATATTCTGCTGGACATCTGTATAACAACATAGAACAACATCTGTTCTTTGCCTGCTTGTCCTCGCCTTGCCAGCACATCCATTCTTTCACTTGCACTGGAGCCTACTCCTTGGATTCTAGCATGTGCTGGAGTCTAGCTGAGGCATCCTGCCTCATGGGACTGAGAAACTACTAGATACTTGGGCTTTCCATTCACAGCTAGCCATCGTTGGATTGGCTGGACTGCAGCCTGGAAGTCATCCCAATAAATCCCCATACATACATACATACATGTGTGTGTGTGGTTGTGTGTGATTGTGTGTGGGAGGGGAGAGACAGAGAAAGAGACAGGCAGACTGGCAGACAGACAGACAGACAGCGATACAGAGAAAAAGATAGAGATTCATTTCATATGTTGTGTGATTCTGAACAGCACTGACTCACACACTGCTGTTGGGGAAAACAGGTTGGCCCTCCAGGAGACTGATTACAGCATCCTGGACAGACATCATCCCGCAGCAGGGTCCATGGGGATTCCACTAAGGACTAGAACCTAGAACAGAGCCCAAGACTTGGGATTAAGGGACCAGCAGGTGACAGCTGTGAGTCTGAACACAGGGGGTAGATGGTATTCTATAGAACCCAGTAGAGCTCTTTGTGTGAAAATGTTGGGGTCCAATAGCTGACGTATGGCAGCCTCATCATGTCCAGCCCCTCCTTGAGAGACTTAGCAATCGGGTGACCATTTACTTGCAGACCCCAGACAGTAGGACAAAGCTAAATAAATCCTGGAGGTGGGCACTCATGACCAGGAGGGCCCACTCACAGACTTCCCTGAGGCTGAAGACAAGGTTCATCTGGTGGAGTGCTGACCTGCCTGTCATGCACAGAACCCTGGGTTCTATCTTCAGCATGAGACAAAAGAGCACAATAGACAAACGTGTAACCCAGCACAAGGTCACCCTTGGCTACATAATAATCCAAGGCCCAGCCTCAGCTACATGAGACTCCAATGAACAAAAGCGGGAATTTCTGACATGTATAGTGGTCCTGTTCCTTCTCCTGGCTGACTGCCCATCTGTGGTGAACTCATCCCAATGGTTCTGTGTTTAGAATCTCCAAGGACAGGATGGATGGATAAAGGCGTGTGTCCATGTACAGCTGGGAGTGAGTCCGTGAGAGTTGTACCTGGCTCAGGTCAATGGATCAGAGGACCATGGGGACTGTGAGGAAGGCAGAGAAAGCAGATATGACAGAGGCGGCTGCATAGCCACCTGAGGGTTCATGGAGAAGGCAATCAATGCCAGGAAATCTAAGGGAATGGGAAGTCGCCTCTGCACATGTTATTCAGAGAGAATGATGCTGTTTCTCTGGTACAATCTTGTCTTCATGCCTTTCAGGAAACTGATGTCACCTAGTCTCAGGAAAGGGTAGGATGACCTCCACAAACCCAGCCCTTTGGCCACCACAGCTTCTGCCCCTACCTCTCATAACTCTATTCTGATCACGGGCTGGCTGTGTCCACTCTCAGAGATGTCCCAGGCAATAAGTAGTGAGTGACAGACTTATTGCTGCTCTGGGCCTTCTTTGTTCACTTTGTCCAAAGAAGGTTCTAGAACAGCCACAGCTAGAGGGAGTCACTGAAGTGCTCTGTGGGAACAGCTTCCTGGGAGCCCAGCAGCAGATCTGTGGCCTTGAGGGGAATTCATAGGCTGCACCAAGCAGGAATCCAGAAGTCACTTTGGAGAGTGAGACTACAAGAATTCAGTGGAACTGAAATCCAGTCAGTTGCCATGTGCCAGTCATGTGGCATG